GTGGCAGGGGTTGTACTGCAGTACATTCGAGGAGATTGGGGAACTGGACCTCAAGGGTCAGATGTAGAAGCATAAAGCCTGAAGGAGCCTATTGCGGGGCTAGGGCTGGGGTTGGGGCTGGGGCTAGGGCTGGGACTTGGGCTTGGGCTTGGGCGGGGGCTGGGGTGGGGCATGGCGAGGGCAGGGCTAAAGCGTGGACAAATCAATGTGTGCTAGGAGAGAGGTGATATGAGATATTGATGAGGTCTGCTGGAGATGGGTGCACCCATGGTACTAGAGAGCGAGGCCTTAGTCATGAGGCCAGCCACAGATCGGTAAACAAAACTCTGCTTGAGTGTCAAGGACGAAAGACACAAGGCCATACCTGTGTTCATCCTACAATTTCCCTGGCAGCAGTGACCTGTGAGTTCCACTGACAATCTTAGGATAGAGACAGGGAACTAGATCTTGAAGATCAGATTTAGAGGTTTATATGTTTATATTTCTATTCTTTCTACCTCCTTCACTGTTGACGTGGGCTATGGCTTTCCAGGCAGGTTGTACCTGGTGATTTATGCGCCTGGATGAATCAGTTAGTTGGAGGAGGTAGTTGAGGTGGAAAGATATCTGGCATCTCATTGAGATGGCAGCAAAATGTCGGTCAAACAACGACTCATCAGCTCATGCTTTAATGCAGATTATGGATGGAACGAGAGAGTTGATCTCAAGGATCAGACAGACTTGAAAATATTGGCAGGCAATCTACATCAGTGGCAGGGGTTGTACTGCAGTACATTCGAGGGGATTGGAGAACTGGACCTCAAGGTTCAGTGGTAGAAGCATAAAGCCTGAAGGAGACTATTGCTGGGCTAGGGCTGTGTTTGGGGCTGAGGCTTGAAAGGGGGCTGGGGTGGGGCATGGCAGGGGCAGGACTAGAGCAAGGACAAATCAATGTGTGCTAGGAGAGAGGTGATATGAGATATTGATGAGGTCTGCTGGAGATAGGTACACCCATGCTACTATAGAGCGAGGCCTTAGGCATGAGTCCAGCCACAGATCGGAAACGAAACTCGGCTTGACTGGCAAGGATGAGAGACACAAGGCCATATCTGTGTTCATCCTACAATGTCACTTGCAGCAGTGACCTGTGTGTTCCACTGACAATCTTAGGATACAGACAGGGAACTAGATCTTGAAAATCAGATTTAGAGGTTTATATGTTTATATTTCTATTCTTTCTACCTCCTTCACTGTTGACCTGGGCTATGTCTTCCCAGGCAGGTAGTACGTTGTGATTTATGCGCTGGGACGAATCAGTTAGTTGGAGGAGGTAGTTGAGGTGGAAAGATATCTGGCATCTCTTTGAGATGGCAGTATAATGTAGGTCATACAACGACTCAGCAGCTCATGTTTAAATGCAGATTATGGATGGAACAAGATGCCGTGATCTCAAGGATCAGACAGACTTCAAAATGTGGGCAGGCTATATACATCGGTGGCAGGGGTTGTACTGCAGTACTTTCGAGGGGATTGGGGAACCGGACCTCAAGGGTAGGAGGTAGAAGCATAAAGCTTTTAGAAGCCTATTGTGGGGCTACGGCTGGGGCTGGGGCTTGGGCTTGGGCTGGGTGGGCCAAGGTGGGGCGTAGCGAGGGCATGGACAAGTCAATGTGTGCTAGGAGGGAGGTGATTGTAGAGATTGAAGAGGTCTATTGGAGGTGGGTGCACCCATGGTACTATAGAGCGAGGCCTTAGACATGAAGCCAACCGCAGATTCGTAAATGAAACTCTGCTTGACTGTAAAGGATGAAAGACACAAGGCCATATCTGTGTTCATCCTACAATGTCACTGGCAACAGTGACCTGTGTGTTCCACTGACAATCTTAGGATAGAGACAGGGAACTAGATCTTGAAGATCAGATTTAGAGGTTTATATGTTTATATTTCTCTTCTTTTTACGTCCATCATTGTTGACGTGGACTATGTGTTCCCATGCACTTAGTACGTGATGATTTATGAGCTATGACAAACCGCTTAGTTGGAAAAGGTAGTTTAGGGGGAAAGATATCTGGCATTTCTTTGAGATGGCAGTGAAATATAGGTCATACAATGACTCAGCCGCTCATGCTTTTATGCAGATTATGAATGGAACGAGATGACATGATCTCAAGTATCAGACAGACTTCAAAATGTGGGCAGTCCGTCTACATTGGTGGCAGGGGTTGTACTGCAGTAGTTTCGAGGAAATTGTGGAACCGGACCTCATGGTTTGGAGGTAGAAGCATAAAGCCTTAAGGAGCCTATTGCGGGGCTAGGGCTGGGGCTGGGTCTGGGGCTTGGGCTTAGGCTTGTGAGGGGCTGGGTGGGGCGGGTAGGGGCAGGGCGAGAGCATGGACAAATCAATGTGTGCTAGGAGGGAGGTGATTGGAGAGATTGAAGAGGTCTACTGGATTTGGTGCACCCATGTCCGCTAGAGTGAGGCTTTAGGCATGAAGGCAGCAGCAGATCAGTAAATGAAACTCTGCTTGACTGTCAAGGACGAAAGACACAAGGCCATATCTGTGTTCATCCTACAATGTAACTGGCAGCAGTGACCTGTGTGTTCCACTGACAATCTTAGGATACAGACAGGGAACTAGATCTTGAAGATCAGATTTAGAGGTTTATATGTTTATATTTTTATTCTTTCTACCTCCTTGACTGCTGACGTGGGCTATGGGTTCCCAGGCAGTTAGCACCTGGTGATTTGTGAGCTGTGACAAACCACTTAGTTGGAGGAGGTAGTTGAGGTGGAAAGATATCTGGCATCTCTTTGAGATGGCAGTGAAATGTAGGTCATACAACGACTCAGCAGCTCATGTTTAAATGCAGATTATGGATGGAACGAGATGACTTGATCTCAAGGATCAGACAGACTTCAAAATGTCGGCAGGCTATGTACATCGGTGGCAGGGGTTGTACTGCAGTACTTTCGCGAGGAGATTGGGGAAGCGGACCTCAAAGGTCAGAGGTAGAAGCATAAAGCTTTAAGGAGCCTATTGTGGGCCTAGGGCTGGGGCTCGGGCTTGATCTTGGGCTTGGGCTTGCGTGGGGGCTGGGGTGGGGCTGGGCAGGGCAGGGCGGGGCCAGGGCATGGACAAATCAATGTGTGCTAGGAGGGAGGTGATTGGAGAGATTGAAGAGGTCTACTGTAGATTGGTGCACCCATGTCCCCTAGAGCGAGGCTTTAGGCATGAAGCCTGCAGCAGATTGGTAAATGAAACTCTGCTTGACTGAGGTCTGCTGGAGATGGGTGCACCCATGGTACTATAGATCAAGGCCTTAGGCATGAAGCCAGCAGCAGATCAGTAAACGAAACTAGGTTTGACTGGCAAGGACAAAAGACACAAGGCCATATCTGTGTTCATCCTACAGCATCACTGGCGGCAGTAACCTGTGTGTTCCATTGACAATCTTAGGATAGAGATAGGGAACTAGATCTTGAAGATCAGATTTAGAGGTTTATATGTTTATATTTCCATTCTTTTTATCTCATTCAAAGTTGACATGGGCTATGGGTTCTCAGGCAGTTAGTATCTGGTATTTATGAGCTGGGATAAATCAGTTAGTTAGAGCAGGTAGTTGAAGAATAAAGTTATCTGGCATCTCTTTGAGATGGCAGCACAAAGTCGGTCAAACAATTACTCAGCAGCTCATGCTTTAATGCAGATTATGGATGGAACGAGAGGACTTGATCTCAAGGATCAGACAGACTTGAAAATGTAGCGAGGCCATCTACATCAGTGGCAGGGGTTGTACTGCAGTACATTCGAGTAGATTGGGGAACTGGACCTCAAGGTTCAGAGGTAGAAGCATAAAGCCT